AACATGCATCTGCCAGACCAGACTATTAAATGGGGACGCTATTTGGATGCCTTTGCCTGTGAGAGAAAACACAAAGAATTCAAGCAGGTGGCTGTTAGATACCAACAGCTTGAAACCTTCGAACGCGGAGTTCTATTGGAGTTGCTATCTAACGACCTTAAAGACATGCCGCGCGGAGTAAAAGCAACCCTGCTATCCAAACCGCGCACCCAAAGCGCCAGCTTAGCGAAAGCAATGGGCTGCAAAGAACCTGTCAATGTGGCCCGCCACTTGCAAGCTGGTACGGCTCTCTCTTCAGGCGACTTCCTCATGTTGAGCGCTGACAAAGCAGTGCAAGTCGTGTGCGGGGCGGAAATCAAATCAGAAAACCTGCTGCTGGTTGAGGAACTCACTTACGTGAAGCAGAAAGGCATAGGCAGCATCTGGAAGCGCTCAGAAAAGCAGTCCATGTTAGAAACATCCGGACTGAGCTTGAGCCACAAAGTTTCCTTCGTGAGATCGCAAAGCAAAAGCGCAGGACCCGCGGAGCAATTGCTCCTGCTGCCTTAGATTCCCAACCAAGCTGAAACCAGCTGAGCAACTGAAAGAACGCAAAAAAAGGAGCGCTTGCAGTGTTTCGCATTCAAAAGTCTCGTTTTGCATGCATGACATGAGTGAAAAATGTTGTTGATTTCATGACTTTTGTTGATTTTCGATTTTTAGTCCGAAAAACCCTATTCGAACTTAGCGAACATAAAACGAAATTAAAACGAACTTAACTGAACTTATGTTAAGTTACTTTTAAGGAACTTACAAGCCGCTAAGTTCTCCGCGAACCTATAGAAGGGTCCAGGCACCCACTATGGACTCTGAGGCGCCACAGTCCATGATCGCCTTGGACATTCCTCCAGTCAAGGTCACGTAAACCTGTTCATCGCTGACCGGCTCCGGCAGCTGGATGACACCAGCTGGAGAAGACGAAGCCAACAACACCAGTGCCCTTGCCCTTGCCCTTCTGTCGAGGGCCCTGTGGGCAATGCTGTGCTCGGTGGCCCCATTTGCCACATCGCATGCACTGACCTTGGAACTCGTCATTCTTCTTCCCGGCCTTTGTCTTGCCGGCACCTTTGGTCTTGCCCTTGCCGTTCGGGTAGAAGCCACACTTCGTTCTCAGCCGCCTCGTCGTCTTCGGACTCCTCCTCGCCGTCTGCCCACCAGACTCCAGTCTCGTCCTCTTCATCGTCCGCCTCCTCCTGGCCGTAGTAGGCTCTGCCTGCGGTCGCCGTGCGACGGCGCTCCTGATCCTTTTGGGTCAGGCTCTCTCCGCCCCACATTTTCCGCAAGGCCTTAAGCACGTCTTCGAGCGTGTACGAAGCAGACTGAGACTTCAGGGTGGCCACGTCCGATGGCTCCAGACGAATGTGCTTATTCAACAGGAACCAGCCATAGATTTCCGTTGGCACCTTTTCCGTTGCCCCAATCTCGGAGAGGGCTCGCTGAATGTCTCGAAGGAACACCTGCAGTCTCTGCTCATAGTCATTCAGGTTCTCCTTGTCATGCCTGATGACCTCGGACGATTGGAAGTACTTCTCGAAGGCTTCTCCAAGGACATCAACCTGCTGCTTGCCTCGCTTCTTCTTCAAGAAATCAAGCAAGTACTCCAAGCCTTTTTCGGCACGCAGCTTCTCACGATCAGTGTCAAGGCACGCCGCCTGTCAAGTTCCTGGCCAGCCCGGGAGCCAGTGTCACCTGCTCCTCTTGCTTCAAGCCATCCAGTTCAAGATAACAGGCAAGTTTGAAATCACTGAACGTCTTCCAATCACCGTTCCAGGTAGGCAGTTTGGGATTCGTCGACGGAGTCTCGGCCATCTTCCAGGTAGAAAGAAGGGCTCTCCCAAAGGACCCGGTTCGGCAGGCTCCGCTACCAGTGTCGATTGGACACTGGTAACGGAGGCCTCGATACTGGTGGCCCACAGGCCAAAGATCAGCGTACTGATAAGAACAGATACGTAAAAGGCAGGAGGGCTATCAGAGCACTCACACGACGCACCTGTTTTTGTTGCTCCCTGCAACTGCTGTCCCGTGCCCAAATGGCTATGGAACGGGCAAACTCTCAGGATTGCATCAGCACAGTCAGCTTGCACCTTCAGATTTACAACCGTGCACCCCTGCCTACTTCGCTGCTTCGCTGCTTCGGGTGCACACCACCGCTATCGAGATTTGCCAGGCCGGATTTGCATGCCTTTGGGATTGGATGGCCGTATTTTTTTTCTCGAGGCTCGGAGCGACGCTGATATCATTTGCATGAATGCATTTGGGGTTGGGGAGGGCCTGGGCCAGCAGCACGAGCATCATTGGGAGGCCGCTGGTTTCTCTCTCGGGGCGCGGAGCGGGTCATGCCGCTCAGTGCGCTTGCCGCCTGCTTTTCATTTGGTGTGGCGAGCTGGTTTGCAGGGTTGACGAAGACAATTTTTCAAGACGAGTTTCGTGGATGCCTGGCACAACGCCGAAGCCGAATCAGCTGGCGAAGACGACAATATTCGAAAGACGCAATTTGTGATTGTCGAAGATAATTTGCGGGTCCATCCGCTGTGGCGCGAAGACGATGTTCGAAGACGATTGGCTGGTGGCAAACACGAATTTCGGCGCGAAGACCAATGTCGAAAATGTTAAAATTACTCCTGTTTGGCAGGGAGCCGACGTCGAGAGGCGATTTCCGAAGACGATTTTCGGACCCCTTCGGTCGGAGGGCAAAGACGAATTTGCTGGCGAAGACGATTCTCAAAGACGAGTGTTGGACCCTCCCGGTCGGGGGGCGAAGAGGAATTCAAGGTTCGCCCCATTAGTCCACGCGAATTGAGCTGTTGACACACTCGACACTGTTGCAGTAAGCCACATTGTTTATAAGCTCAGAAGGATCTAGCTATCAGCTACACATGCGAAAATCCGCGGCTTTTGTAATGTGGGCGGAGCAGATCATGCACAGAAGAAAGCAACTGCGGCTCTAATGTTGAGTTTTGCGCGACGCCCTAATGCGGATCTGGGGTGGAGCATTGGCATAGAGCACAGGTAATAGCCCCCTGTTGAACATTAGATCCGATGGTGCGCAATTTTGCCGACTTGCCCACGCACGGTAGCAGGCCAGCAGGCCGAAACTTTAACGTTAGCATTAGCAAACATGCTGGTTCTTTGCAAAGCCATGTCACCTGGTGTCACAAGTCCACAGGTCGGTATTGAAGCGTTCAAGTTCTTATGCCGCTTTGGAAGAAGCCCGGCATATGTGCTGGCAGGATGTGCTGATGCATCTGCAGGGGCCCTGCAAAGGCAAGCTGAGAGAGAGATCATGAGAAGTATGCACCGAGGCCCAACCGAGCAGTGCACAGCTTTCTGAAGGAAAGTGTGAGTTTGGGCGCTCCCAGATACCGCATGGTGATGCCAGAACCCCATGGCTACGCATGTCCCGAAGTAGTAAGCTCAACGTGTCTGAGCCTGGCTGCAGTTGGCAGAAGGCTGGTTCAGAATGAAGTTCCTCCCGTTGGCATTCGAGAGATGGTAGATATCGAGTCTGAGACTCAGGTCTCTGGGGAGTCGAGGGTGTGAGGCAGGGTCTTGTGAGGCCTGGGCAGCTGCTGCCCTTCGACATCACCTTGCCGCCTTTCGGAGTGGCCTGGGCTGACTCAGGAAAGTATTCCTCAACAAGTGTTGCGTTTTCCTCTCCACTGCAAGAGCCAAGAATTCCCAGGCGCGCTTTGGAACCATCTTTCGCTGGAAGAGCGATGAGCCCAAGGCCGGAAGCCAAGCGAAAGTCAAAAACTTCACAAAGCTAAGGCACATTTGCGAAGATATCATTTAAGGCTGCGCATTGCATCTCTTTACAAGCTGCCTGCGCTCTGACGCTTTTTTCTTTCTGCAGACGTCAGGTGGTGCAGCTTTGGGAGTCCGGGAGCGAGAGGAAAAAGAAGCGCCCTTTCAATGTTCTCTCTCTCTCGGTTTGCGAACCCCCGCACNNAAAAAAAAAAAAAAGAAAAAAACGTTTGAGCTTATAAAGTCTCGAAAGTCTGAGGTAGGCGTACCGCTGCTATCCGCGGCATGATGCCCCCACTGACCTGGCTGCAGCTGCTCGTGGCGGCACTAGCACTCTCGCATTGTGCTTCATGTCAAGGAAAAGTGCCGTCGTTCTTTGCTCGCTGTCTTTCTCACGCATTGCTTTGGATTCTGCAGAGTCCCAACGCTGGGCAGGTTTGCGGGAGCACGCGTGAGGGCAGTCCATTGCCTCCTGGGCAACACAGCATGCGTCTTAAGGACGCTGAGCCGCTCAGCCGCCCTGACCGCCTTTCGAGAAAGGAGCTGAGTTGCGCTGCACTTGTGCATCTGGAGAGATATGAGAGAGGAACGGGTGCAGGCTACTGACTGGAGAGGTAGAGTTCCGGCTTCGCGGCTTCGGCTCGAGCGGCCCATGTGACGCGCCGGGGCCGGGCTGGCCGCTGGCCACTGGCGACCGACTGGCGACCGCCACCGTGCTGTGACCGCCTCACTGTTCTAGAGCAGTGAAAAGTAGGCAGCCACCACATGGCCATTGCATCTCATACCAAAGGCGCGGTTTGTCGCCTCTCTTTATGTCATCCGAGTTTGGGTGTTTTCGCGTGCGAAATGCAGGGCGCGAGGGCAAATCCATCGAGCAGATCTACCAGAAGAAGACCCAGCCTAGTTCTCAGGAGCACGTCAATCTTCATGAGTTCGTGAGCTTCTGGTCCTGGCCGGCTTCCGGGCGAGAGCAAAGATTCCGCGCTGGACATTCTTTCAGCCACTGAATGACAAGCAACAATCACACGTGGAGACTACTACATCCTGATTGTAGCAAGAACCTTCCTTACACTATCCTTGATCCTGTACAGCTTTCTGGTGCTATTGCTGCTTTTCTTCACCATGCCCATAAACAAGCCGTGTTGGAAGGCACCTTGTAAGGAAGATTCCAGGAACACAGGGACATCCCAAACCATCAGTTTGATATCCACTGATCCAGCAAAGCTTTCGGGGGTGGTGTGAAGGTTGGAGCACATCTTGTTGCGACCTGATACCTATGTGGGATCCACGGAAGCCCAGGTGCAGGCAGGATTTCTTCGGTCTCTGCTGTGTGGTAAACCCACGTCGGTATCCCTCAGGAACTTTGGGTCTTTGATGCTGTACAAAGCCGCATGGTTCACCGGAGGATCAGCTTCGTGCACCCATGGAAAACCGGTTCCGTTGCGCGCGTGCCGTTGGCGGCGGGGAGGTACCGGCGCTGTACAAGATCTTCGACGAGATCCTTGTGAATGCAGCGGATAACCTGCAGCGAGATCCGCAGGAATCAGAACGGGTCGGAAAGCCGTTGAAAGAATTGAAATCACAACGGGCACAAAGCTAAAGCAGCTAAAGTGCTGGGACTGGGGCCAGGGCATGGACACCATCAGGGTTGGTGCCGCGCTAAGTTCAAAGAAGCGGGGCTACGGTGACCTTGATCACTTTGAAGATAGTTTAAGCATGCATGCTCATTTCCACTCGAGGCATCGATCAGCAGCAGGGTTGCCTGTTTGTGTGGAACAATGGCAGGTCCTTGCCTTTGCCAAGTGTTAGAGTCACTGCATCTTTTGCCAGCCAGGGGACTCCCGGTGGTCATGCACAAGGAGCAGAAGGTCGGGCGCCAGTGTGAGTTGGCTTGTAGCCAATCTAGAATAGCAAAGCATAGCAAAGCATAGCAGAGCATAGGCAACACCGCAGCCTGCCGCAGCCATTCGCAGCTGCAAACTTGCCCATTGCAATGCTTTCGGCCAATGCTGTCCGGAGCTGGCTTCCTGCATCTGCCCTTTTGCCCTTGGCCGTTACATGGACCTCACCTTCACGCACCTTCACGCACCACACGCACCGCACCAGAAACTGAAAAAGCTTCAGGAGCTGCTTCACAAGCCTCAGCACTCTCAGCTACGGCCGGCCGCTCAAGACACGCTGCAAGGCCTTTACTTTCAAGGCATGCTGAGCCTTCTGCTTGGAGGCGCTCTCATGTCACTGCATTGTCACTGCTGTTCTATAAGTCTCTCAAAGTGAGATGCACAGGTGGGCATGGGCTGCGTGCGCAGGTTGCGCAGGTTTCGCAAGAGCACGGCCATGCATGGCAAAGACAAGGCCCAGAACTTTCAAAAAGCGAAATACACCAGGATAATTGCAATGTACTGTAATGATTGGTGCGAAATACTTCTGATAGGTTCGCGAAGAAGACTAGCATAGCATGCTCAGTGCTTTACCGGCAACAATAAGTGACAATGACCTGTACAGATAGGTTTTGCTTTTCCGAGTGGCTTGAGTACATGGATCTGTTGCTGAAGCACGGTACCGTAAGAGACAACCGAGGCTTTGGGTCGTAGAACGCCCGGAGACGGAATTCAAGGCGCCTTCGGCTTTCCTTTCAAAATTAAGGTCTTCTCTCCATGTGCCAGCTGTATGGACTGCAGTGACTCCATTGTTTGGGCCTCTTCCGTGTGCGGCCAAGTGTTTTCTTAGATTCCTATGAGAAAACAATGTTCCTACGGTCCTACTCCTTAGGACACCTTAGGGCCCTAGTAGGCCCTAGATCACGCGGACCTCCGACCCCGAATCCACTCAGCTTTGAAGCCTTCAGGTCTGAACCTTTGTGTCTCGCGTTTAACTCACAGACATGACCTTGAGACCTCATCTCTCCCCTTCCCCTCATACCGCTTGCAATGTCTTGCATATTGCAGGAAAAGCGTTTCTTCAAGCTGGAGCGGTTTCTAAGCAAGGCAGAGGACAGGGAGGAGTCTTCAATTTGAGCCGTAATTTTGGGATAGGGATCAGACAAATTCAACAGGGATCAAGAAACAAAAATAAGTATGTCAAACAAGAAAAGACACCAAGAAGACACAACAAGAAATAAAGTACAGGAAATAGAGCGCTCGCGTAGAGCTTGTATTTTTTCAGTCATCCTAGTTGCTAAAACGCGCCCCTCTGACGTGTGTTCACAGTGAGTGCCGTAGCAGTTTGTACCTAGACTTCGCTGGACTATTGAACATATTCTTGCTCAAGGAAAAGGGACCCTGCAGGCTGTGTTCTTCCTTGTCTAAGTACCTTTCTTGTATTTAACTGGTTAACAGCCTCATTATCCTTTCTGCTGACACTGGGGTCTAGCCACAAAGTTGGGCACTTAATGGGTAGCACAGCGAAGCACGCAAACGTCTTTTTGATTATGGCGCGGACGGAGCTACAAAGTTCTACACACAGAGAACTAGAAAGAACAACCAGCAAAGAAGCTATAAGTACACTACAATTGAAACTGAAAATTGAAATATTACCTTTGTACAAAGTGACATGCTTCACTACTGTGATCCGAGATGGCTACAAGCACATGTAATCTTTACACATGCTGCATATGCATCCTGTTCATGTACAAGCATTCCCCCGGTTCTGTTTGACAGAAGGCCATCATGCACTATGTACATTCGACTGTTCCTCCCGAACTGAGTTCATGCTCAAAGGACAGGCTTGTGGCATCTTACACCTTCCGCGGTATCTGATGCTTACAGCTTTACACCAATCAGCCAGTAGAGCTAGCTGAAGGTTGCTGTGGATACAGAACATCATGGAGAGATTGAGGTAGCGGTATTGGTTCACCACTACAATAGGCGCAAGGTTTTCGCATGATTACCGGGGCATCTGTGCGACTCCTCGCACAGGTCTCGGAGATATGCCATACTCTGCCATGAGGGCAAACATAGATGTTTCCCACTGCATGAGCCGTAGGTCTCCGATTCCAGATCATCTGCAGATCCTGTTCATATTTGGCGACTGTCCGTTGGAATCTGCGAAAGATTCTTGCTTGACTGTTGCAGGTGTTTAGGAGATTTTCAAACCGACTATCCGTTTGCACGGCAATCGAACTTACTTCGTAGCTGACCTCTTGGGGATCTTCCTGATTTTCTGTCTGAGTCGGAATAGACTCTGTAGCTGGTATGACCTGTGGCTCGATCGTGGTCTCCAGCAATTGATCGTCCTCTGGTAAGGGAGCGATCACGGGAGTGTCTGCGGTCACGAAGGTCTTTAAACCTTCCTATGCACAGATTAATACCACGATGCAACCAACAAGATATCAATTGTCCTGCGATTCTGTCTTCTCTATGCAGATGGCCCACAAACAAAAGGTGGACGCTAACGTAGCTACTGCTCGGTCAGACTGAGCAGTTTTTACTACCTGAGACACACATGCCTGTTTACGGATCTTCCCGACCTGTACTAACTGCAGTCCTATCACGGTGACTAAGCAGAGAAGTAATACCCCAGATGACCAAGAGCCCAATGGGATACTTCCAGAGGTTTCCCCTTGTGCGGGAATACTACCTGCTTTGACGGCTGTCAACCGTGAAAATAACAACAAAGCCATGAGTGCCGTAGTAGCTACCGATGGAGCACACTGTTGTCGCCTCTAACGGTTCCCCTACCCGTGCGCTTGCCTTTGGTAGTGCTGCCAACCCGTCCGCTTCTGCACGGGCTCTCCCTGGTATCCCTCACCATAAGGCCGTTTGCTATGGTTGTGATACACAGGCCAGCACAGCGCTACAGGCGCTGGGCTACTTACACTTGGCAAGCCCGCTCCTGACCAGGTTGCTCACATGGTTTCTCTCTCTAAAGGTTCAGGCGCCCGAGCTCCATGTTGCACTTGAGGATTGGCACTGCCGGGCAGAGGCTGCTTGCCAAGCCGCTGTTTCTATGGGTTTGGCCTCCCTTTCTAAGCCAGGTTAAAGCAGGAGCAGGCAAAGCTCTGGCGTAACCGTTTTAAGCGTGCCTCCACTGATGCCCTTCATGCCGGCGCCGGGGCTCTCAAGGTCGCCGGCCCTCCCGACCCCGACCTGTCGTCCAAGAGCATGATTGCCGATCGGGAGCGGATCTGGACTCGGCCCAGTGGCAACGGGGCTCAACTTGGGACACCGTGTGCGAGCTTGGCAGCAGCAGCTTCTCGGCCCCTACCTCTGACCAGCTTGGGGCCGGCTTCGATGGCTGGACTGCCAGCGAGCTCAAAGGGCTGGCCATTGCTTATCCCTGGCTCATTGTGGAGCTTGCTGAGCTCATGCGTGCCTGCATGTTTCTTCAAGACGAAGCCGCCATCGGTGCCTGCCAGGACCGTTTCTTCAGTTGGCGTGTTGTTGGCATCCCTCAGCGCTGCGAAGCCGCTGCCCGCCCTATCGCCATCGCCAGCGCCGTCGTTCGATCTTGGAATCGAGCTCTGTTGGCGCAGTTCCCTCCGCCTTCTGAAGGTCAATATTGCGGCTCTCCTGGCCACAGCGCTGTGTCTGCAATCTTGCTTGGTTGCGCGCCCCCTGCGTCCGCGGGGCCGAACTCGACAACCGCAAAGCATTTGACGGCGTCCTGCGTGGTGTTGCCTTTTGCGCCAGCGCCTCCGCCGGGGTGGCGCGGGCGGTCTTGGACTATATGCGGCGCATGGAGGCCTGGGAGGTGTAACCTTTTGCGGGGTAGTTAATGGTGGACCACGAGGAACTTTGGTTCTCATAGGAGTGTTGGGGGAAATTTCTACCCCATGACCAGTTGTACCTTTACCATACGGAGCAGATGGAGTATTACTCCTAGCACGTGAGGAGTTCCCTTGTCTTTGTTGACCGCTGCCCCGGGGTGAACTGGTTCTGTCCAAACTTTGTACCTGGTCCAGAACCCTTGCAGGTTGGCTAACACCTTCTCCTGATGCCCGATAACCACTGGGCACTCCACTTTCCTGTTCGGGCAAAACCATTAAACTCCCATACTCATCTACAACCGCGTTCCTTAACTGGCCGTTTACATCTACAGTAGACCTTTGACTGCGAGTTGCATCACTGTCCCTCCGAGACAAGTGAGCCGGCAACGGTGGAGGCAGGACAAAACTTGCCTAACTCAGGACTAGGGCCTAAACACTAGAACCTAAGGCGGGGAGACCCTGGGCTCGCAAGGACACACCGGCGGCGCCTGCGCACCACTGACTTGCGCCACTACCATTACAAGGAGAGGGTGCAATGGGAAGACCCCTACTTAACCTTAACGAATCACTGGCCGGGCCTGAGAGATTACCTGGAGGCGCAGAATTACTAATTGCAGGAACAGTTGACATATTCCTCATATGCCCTGCCTGCGGTCCTGCAACACTAACGAACCCACAACGGCCGCACTCCCACTAATAGGCCCCCGTCCAAACGTTGCGACAAGAGAGGACTCGGACAATACGGGACTGAGGAGACCGACTACTAGGGACACCATTTTGGCTAGCCCTAGAACCTTGGAGACTTTTCGAGGCAGGTATGGATCCTTTACCGTCCGAACTAAAAGCTCTTACTTTGGGCGTACTACTCGCAATTGCTTGCGAACTACGGCCAAACAACACACCTGCTGCGGGTGAAAGACCAGGCGCTTCACCTTCCCTCAAACCCACAAGCCGACCGCCAGCCGTTGCGTGCTGTGTTAAACCTGACTGAACAAGTGCCGACCCGCCAGGTCCACTGCTATCTGCAGCATTACCAGTATCACCAGTTCCCTCAATTGCAGTGTGCGCTGAGGTCACTGAACCTGAGCGAGACTTCTCCAAAGCCCCTGCACGTTCCTGCAGAGCCTCGTTCTGGTCAAGTAATACATGGGTAATTGCACT